CTCAGCACTGGGAAGGGAGAGACAGGCAAGTCCCTGTGGCTTACAGGCCAGCCAACCTCCCCTACGAGGTCAGCTCTGGGCCAAGAAGACACCTATTTCCAAAAAACGAGGTGTCTGGCTCCCGAGGTTGCCCCTGAACACAGCACAGGCGGGCACACATGTACATCTACACAGACCTGCACACACACGACCTCATCTGTCTGAGTTAGGGCTATTCAGGAGAATTTCCCTTTCACTCAGAGTCAACTGCCTAGGGACCTTAAGTACACCTACAAAGTCACCTACAAATTCCTCTTTGCAATGGAATGTAAAGCCCTATTGTCATATTTTATCAGTTTAAGCCAGTCATGAGTTTTGCTCACACTCAGGAGTGGGTAGAGATCACCATGGCCATACTGGACTTTTCCCCATCACTGTGCTGGTCCAAGGAACTAAACCTTCATGCTACATTCTGTTTTAGACACACTTCTCGTTGCCGTTTAGAACAAAACACATACCTGACATAAACAAGGAGGGAAGGATTTGTTGTAGCTCAGAGTTTCAAAGGCCTGTCAACTGTGGCCAGTTGTGAGGCCATCATGGCATGGGAACATGAAGTAGAGGCTGCTCACCCCCTGGAGAAAGGAGGCAGGAGAGAGGAAGGGACCAGGAAGTAGGTATATCCTTCAGAAGCACATCCCCATTTACCTGCTTCTTCCAGCTAGGCCCCAGCTCCTAAGGCTTCTGCTGCCTTCTTAAGTAGCTCAAGTAACTGCACACCAAGCCATCAATGGCTGAGCTTTCGTGGGCGGGGGGAGGGATGAGAGCTTTTCATCTTTAAGCCACAACAAGTTCAGAGGAAAATACTGACCCTCAGGAAAGATACCTTTTTAGGTGACAGTAAATCTTGTCCAAATAATGTTAAGAAAAATGGAGGTAAACTCACAGGCTTGCTTTGAAAAAAAAAAAAAATTAACCTTATCCATCCTATACAGATAAACAAGAGCAACAAAAAATTGAAGCCTTTTTATAACTTATTTCAGTTCTAGGCATCACACTGAAATAACAAGCGCTTTCTCTTCAGTCGCACTGGCCACTGGTTTGAAAGAAGGAAAAATTATAAACCTGTACTATAGAATCAGTAATAGGAATTCATGTATCCTATAATAAGAATGAATATGTCACAAAGACTTTAATATGCAAAATAATTTAATAATTTGCTAGGACGGATTTCCCCATGACTTCCGGATACAGCCATTTAGAATTTTCATAAATAGAATTAAAATGTCATTCTAATCCTCTGTACTTCAATACCTGGGACTACCTGGAGTTGTTAAAAGATAGCATTAGGAGGGTGCATTCCTGTAATTCCAGAACGCAGGAGGCTGAGGCAGGAGGATTGAGAGCTTCAGACTGTGTCAGAAACAAACAAAATAGCAACTGTGCAGGCTAGTTTTTAAACTAGAGCCATCTGAGAGGATGGAACCTCAATTGAGAGGCTGCTTCCATGGGACTGAGTTGTAGACAAGCTTGTAGTGCATTTTCTTATTAGGGGGATCCAGTCCATTATAAGTAGTGCCACCCCTGGGCTCATCACGGGGTCTATGAGAACAGGCTGAGCAAGCCATGGGCAGCACTTCTCCGTGGCCTCCTGCCTCCAGGATCCTTCCTGGGTTCAGTCCCTGCCCTGGCTTCCTGGACGGACTGTGATTCAATATATATAAACCAAACAAACCTTTCCTTCCCACAGCAAAAGAAACCCTAATCAATACAGTACCTTCACACATTGGTGTTAGTATACTGAATATAAACATCCGTCACCATAATCCAAGTCTCTGACACACGACTGCAATGAAGCAGAGAAGATGAGTGCAGTTCCCACTTCCAACATAACAGCCACAGAAGGCAATCACTGATCAAACATTCAAGGCAGACTCAGCCATGAGGGAGCATGACACAAGCGTGCCTGGGTCAGAAAGCACGACGGGAATATTGCTGAATACCAGAGGACTCCTTCAAGACGTGGATAAATGCCTTTTTTTTTTTTTTTAAATAAGGCGAAGCAGAGCATGGTGTATAGTTTTTGAAGGAATAACACTTTATGTTACCAGTCATACCAGTCATACACATTTTTAACTTCATTTAGCTGGCTTTAGTGGGGCACTGTTGTATTAAGTCTCATCTGAACTGGCATAAATAGCTCCTGGCTCTACTGTCCCACAGCTTCCATTCAGATGAGGACGTTATGGGACATTCAACACAGGTAGCTGATGACAGTGAATACCATTTTGGTCCCCAAATCCAGTTGAAGCATAGGTGTGATGGCTCTTCTTGGTTGTCAACTTGACTACATATGGAAATCTAAAATTCAAAAATGGAGGCCACTCTAGTGAGGGGATTTTTTTTTCTTAACTTGAGATAGGAAGATTTACCTCCCATTCAGATCCTGAGGCAGGAAGACACACTCCTTTATCTGGATCTTGGGGTGCCAAGACCACCTTTAATGTAGGTCTTGGGGCAGGAAGACACACCTTTAATTTGGGCCACACCTTGTGTTGGAAGCCTATCTAGAGGCATGGAAGGAAGCTGTTGCTCTTTGCCTGCTTGCTCTAGCCTTGCTAGCAAGTCCATTCCTTCGCTGGCATTAGAGCCCTTCTTCCAGCACATAAAGAAGACCAGCTGAGATATCCAGCCTTATGGACTGGATTCTTGGATTTTCTGTTTATAGGCAGCCATTGTTGGATTAGTTGGACCACAGCCTGCCTGTAAGTCATTCTAATAAATTCCCTTTATTTGTGTGTGTGTGTGTGTGTGTGTGTGTTTGTGTGTGTGAACATATATTTATTCATTCTAGAGGTTCCACTATTCTCGAGAACCCTAACACCATGGATATACCAATTAGGTCTTTGCAGGCAAAGGAATTGTTCAGTGCTTGTATTTTTGAAGTGATATTAAAAGTGGGTTATCTGAGATTTCTGTAGGATCATGAGGTGTTGGCTAATTCTCAGATTCTTTTCAACTGGTGACACCCACTGTACTGTTGAATGGAGAGGACTTTGTGCTAGGTGTTGAGGATAGCAAGCTGAAGAAGTCATAGTCTCTGCTGTCACATGATCCACTAATTCTTTGTCAGCTTGCAATGACAGTTCCTTCCAGAGAACTTCTAAGAAATGCCTAATGGGCAGAACCCCAGAGTTCTAGGGAACACAGTTTACCTGTCTCCAAAAGATGACGACTCATCATTTTGTGTAACTTTGGTTTTGCAAAGCTGAATATGCTTTCTAGTGCTCACCTCTTAGTTACATTTCCTGTAACTCTTCCCGCCACAGCTAACCTAATCTAGATGATCCTTTACAGACACGCCCCGAGGCTGGTTTCAGTGACGATTGTAGATTCCCATTCAGGTAACCATCACTGTTAACCACGGCAACTGAAGTCTAAACTTGAGAGTTGAAGCTTTGTCCCTGTAGCTGTTCTTCAGGGCTGGGGAGCAAACTCTGGGCCTGCAGCAACGGCTTTCCCACCAAGCTAATTCCCAGGCTCCATGCTGCGGAGTTCTTAGCAAGCACATCCCATGTAAAGATTTAAGGCACAGGCATGAGGTTCACAAGTGAGTCATCCACAGACAGCCGTTCCTTTCCTCAAGCATTGCCTCTTGGTGACAAATCCCTTGGGGACTGAATACAAACTTCTATCTCTAATAGGTGAACTAGAACACCAACCTATCACTTTTCCATTAAATTAAGATTAAGAGAATTGGGAAAAAATATTTTGTCCACAAGAAAAAAAAAAAAAAAGAATAAGGATGCAAAACTTACATACACCCCTGTAAAATTTGCTTCTGTAACTGTAAGCTGCCCAGTGACCCTCAGTGTAAGCATTGTTAGGAATGCAAGCATTTGGGAGGCAATTTCACCATTCTTCGTGACTTCAGTAGGTACAGGTAATGCTTTTGTATTTACCGAATAAGCTCATAAAACAGAAGGACTTCTGAACTCTTCAGTAAAAGTCAGGATTAAAATTTGATTTTAATTTGTAACTCCTGATTGCACTTAAGAAGGTTTGCCTTCCACCTACAAGTTGCCATTATCTCGAAGGTGAAATTTTAGCACATGGCTAAAATGTCCTACAGTTACAGCTTCATGAATCAGCATCAGTAATTCAGAGTGAGATCACAGACAGTGTCATACTCTTTTGCCTGTAAAGGGAAGCTCAGGGAACATCATGAGCACTTTGAATTTAGACTGTGGCTCCCCTGAGTACCATAATTTGTCTCTCCGTTCTTAGCTGGTCAGAAGGAGCCTTCTTTAGGAGATTTTTAAGAACGGTGAACTTGGCTTGGCTAGACATGTGATCACCGGCTCCCCACCTTACATGGAGCGGGCAGAGATTTTACCAGTGTTTTGTGGAAAAGATTTCGATTTGTTACTGTGCTATCCACTATACACGAATGTGCTGGGTTTTCTCTTGGGAGCTTCAAATTCTCACAACCAACCAAATCAGATCAAACCAGCCACCGGGGCACCAAGGGAGGGTAGCTTTGCCTGAAACTTGCTTATAAATGACACTTCTGAAGCAAGCTTTGCCTGGCACATTTGGCCACTTTTAACTGTGATCTGCTTACTAATAACGGCTAGACTGGCGTGCATGAGTCCTGGAAATACATTTTAAAAGCAGCCCCCTAGTACAATGGTGTCCACAACTAGAAAAACAACTGGCCGGCCGTTTCAGCCCGAGCTGAGGACACTTGAACCTCGGCAGAGCCCTCCGCACCAGATGGCTCCACCAAGCACCTAGAGCTGGCTCAGGACCCCACCAACCGGGTGTCTGCACCACCCAAGTCCCGTTGGCTAGCCCGCGCGTGGCTCCGCCCCCTTCCGCTCCACTCGGCCTCGCCCGCTGGAGCTGGCAGAATGAGTGTCAAAGTCTGCTAATTAGCATGAGCCAATGGCCGCGCTGCATGCAAATGAGGCTGGATGTGGTTGGCTGAGGGCTTAGCCCCTTAACTCCGGAATCCGGCCCTTTGTCCTCAGAGGCCCGGAGGCGGCTGTTCGGCGCTAACCGAGCGGGACCGGGCGAGAGGCCGGCGGCAGCGGAGACGGGAGCGAGCGCAGAGCCGGCGCCGCGCACTGGGGGGCCAGGAGCAGCCCGCGCGCCCGCCGCGGGAGGGTCTCGCACTTGCAATATGACTTTGGAGGAATTCTCGGCCGCAGAGCAGAAGACCGAAAGGTGAGTAGGTGTGCCTGCGGACTCGGTGGTCGCCGCCCCGCCCGGGACCCGGCTTGACCGTCTCTCGCCCTGCCCGTCCGCAGGATGGACACGGTGGGCGATGCCCTGGAGGAAGTGCTCAGCAAGGCTCGCAGTCAGCGCACCATCACCGTCGGCGTGTACGAGGCCGCCAAGCTGCTCAACGTGTAAGTGGCCCCGGCTCGCCCCTGCCTCCCGCCCGCCCCTACCCCGCGCCCCCCGGAGCGGGGGCACTCACCGCCGCCCCCGCTGCCCGCAGAGACCCCGACAACGTGGTCCTGTGCCTGCTGGCCGCGGACGAGGACGACGACAGGGACGTGGCTCTGCAGATCCACTTCACCCTCATCCAGGCGTTCTGCTGCGAGAACGACATCAACATCCTGCGGGTCAGCAACCCGGGTCGCCTGGCGGAGCTGCTGCTGCTGGAGAACGACGCGGGCCCGGCGGAGAGCGGGGGCGCCGCGCAGACCCCGGACCTGCACTGTGTGCTGGTGACGGTAAGGGACCCGCTGGGCTGGACCTCGGCCGGGCTGGACGCTGGTCTCGCGGGGGTTCCGATGGTGCCGAGCCTGTCCAAGCTCGTGGGTGGCCTCCAGCGGCGGAAGGGAGCCCTGTGAGTCAGCAGGCCGCCCAGCTACCCCTGTCTACCTCTGCACTACCTCGCGTGACTAATTCTTTGAGGAGAACAGATTAGATAAAGCCAAGTAAATTCCCGGCTCACCCTTCCTTACGAAGTCAGCTTCATTCTGCATTTGATGTCAAAGCTAAAGATAGAAATGGTGTAGGAGAGCGAGACCCTGTTAATTCCCCGGAGCTACTCTGGAGTGCACGGAGTGGAATTCTTTTCTTTGCTGCTCAGAGTTTGTTTGGACGGGCCCTCCCCGCTCTCCTCACCCCTTAAGAATGTCTGGTGGATTAGTGTGCTGTCATGTTCTTCGGGTTTGGTTTGGTTTGGTTTTCGTGCTCTCTGTCCTTTGACTGGTGCGGGGAAGTGGCAGCCTGGTCCCTTGTGCTGCCAGTGAAAAGTGCTATTCTTCGTCAGGGAAGGTAAGAGCTCGCCGCTCAGCTGCCTTCCCTGCGGCTCTAGCGTCCTGCACACAGCCTGTGAATGTTTTCCAGACATATTTCACTTAGGACCCCTCCACGTTACATGCTTGGTACGGTGGTCTCATGAATGATAACTTCCTGCAGAATGCTCTAGACAATTATGCAAAACTGTGGCCCAGTGTGCATTACAGGAGGTTAGGCTTGGCCAAATGCCCTTTAAAACGTAGTGCAGCTAGTAGCTTAAGCCAGTCAGTTGATGGGGAAGTAATTTTTCTAACTCTCTTCTCAGAACCCACATTCATCACAATGGAAGGACCCTGCCTTAAGTCAACTTATTTGCTTTTGCCGGGAAAGTCGCTACATGGATCAGTGGGTTCCAGTGATTAACCTCCCCGAACGGTGATGGCATCCGAATAGGAATAACTGAAACGAATTGCACTGAAGTTTTGAAATACCTTTGTAGTTACTCAAGCAGTCACTCCCTCCGCTGATGCAAGGATTACAGAAACTGATGTCAAGGGGCTGAGTTCAACTACACGGGGTTAGGAGATGACTTTGCAGGTGGAGAGAGGTGAAAATAAAGAAGGAAGCTGTGTTGAAGAAGAAATCTAAGTCAAAAGGGACAAAAATTACAAAGAACTGTGCAAGAAAGAAAACTACTAATTTAGGATGGTCGAGTTAAATTAAAATAAACCAAATATTGCTGTGTTGAAACTAAATGTGTAGCAAGTTTGGATATTTGTTTTTGGTCTTTATGCCCTCAAGTGAAAAAGGAAGGTGAAAAGGATGAATCGTATTTTCAAGCCACAGTTTAATGTATTTTGATGAGATGTTAAATTCTCAGAGTTTTATTATAAATCGTACTAAGTTATTTTATGATGTGAAAGGTTATTTATGATAAACTTTTTGAAGCACAATATCTAAAATAAACTGATATAGGATAATTGTGTCATTTCTCAATGTGGTTTGTGGTTTACGACACTATCAATAGACATTTTATTGAAGCTTTGTTTTACTTTACACTAGGCAAAGATGGGTGAATTTTGGGGTTTGGGGTAAGGGGGAAAGAAATACTTAGGAGAATCACCTTGCAATTACAATTAGTTTTTTAAATGTAATAATAAAATTGCATGCAAAATGTGGAAGCAGAGAGGAGGGCTACCACACAGCTGCTTGAAAGATGAGTGCTGCTTTTACTGAGGAAAAAAACGTTTTAGTGGGGTCTTAAGAAATGAGCTTAATTTCTCTGGGTAGAGAGAGGGGAGAGGGATATTGTTAACAGCTACAGCAGTTTGTACAAAGGTGTGGAGGCCTGAAAGATCCCAGCCTGCCTAGTTAGAAGGATGACTGTCTGCACCTCTGGTGTTGAGAGATAAGGGAGACAGGGATGGGAAGAGTAGGTGGGGGTTCGACTTGACTCTGACAGGCGTTCTTGTATCATCATGTGTTTGAGCTTCCCCGTGTAAACGCCCCAGTGTGCAGAGGCCTTCAGACTGCAGGTAGACTGCATCACCTGGGGAAGTAAGGCCAGGTAACTGGGTGGGTGGCTGTACTGTGCTAGTGTATGACACTGAGTGCATTTTGTGGAACTGTGACCAAGGGCAGGTTTTGAGATGCTCTTAGTCTCTTAGAGCACTGTACCTTAAGCTGAATATTTCCTCTGCTGCTGTGAGTGATCTGCCTGTGTCAGAAAGAAGAAATGGCAGAGAAGAAGGAAGGTAAACAAGCCTCAGTAGAAGCTTTTCTACTGTCTGGTCAGAAGGCACCTGGTAATTAACTGCAGCAGGCCCATGGAGGCAGAGCCAAGGAAAGCAAAGGTGTGAGCTGAAGACCAGGGGGCAGGAGCTCCTTGGGCCCCCTACTGTGCGACAGTCTCCTGATGATAAGCAGGTAGAGCAGAAGAAACAAACCCTTAGGCTTCTGTGTGTCTTGTATAGGCCTGTGAGCCTTCTGTTTTTCTACTCTTACAAATGTGGGTTTCTAGGCCTTACTTAGTCTTTTGCTTTAAGCCAATGTGTAAACCCGAACAACTGGAATAATAACATTTGCTTTTTTGTATTAGCAGAAGATTTGAGAACAGTGACTTTCAAGAGAGACCTTTAGCCTTTTAGGATCTTTCAGTCTGTTTTCACAACGGCTGCATTTCATGAGGTAAGACACGTTAAACCAAGCAGGACTAGTGGAGAAAAGCAGCTGTTTTCTGGAAAGAGCATGGTGTCAGCCATGTCTCCGTGAGCCCTCCTTCATCCGGATTCCTTCACGTGTAAGATGAAGACCACATTGCCCATCCTCCAGAGCTGCCTTTTGTAGTGTGGTAATCTCTCAGAAGGATGAACCACTCTCAGGTCCAAACATGGGTCGTACAGTAGGTGCTGAGTTCATATTTGTTAAATAAGTGAATGACTAGGAGCCATGAATACAAACGCAAGGCTGAGCCTTTCGTGATAGAGCATGTATGAGATCTCGCGATGGTAATCTGTAGTAATGATAATTACTCCCTGGTACATGGTATTTGCTCAGATGACTGCAACAGGAAAATAAGGCCTCAGAGACATATGTTACTTATCATACATATTTTTTAAAAAGGAGTTTGAGTCACTTAAATCCCAGCGCTTAGGGATATGAAGTAGAGAGATAAAATCTTAAGACTATTCCACTTGTTGAAAATCCTAACAATAACTACAGTTAGTATTCTTTTGATTTTTGTTTTGTTCTTTTATAACAATTTAAACGTGTTGGGAAAAAAAAATCAAATTATGAGCCATCAGTGGCTCAGCAGGTGTCTGCCGCCCCAGCCTGAGTTTGATCTCTGAAACACAAGGGAGAAGAAGAGAATTGACTTCTGAAAGTCGTCCTGTGACGACTGTGCTGTGACATGCACACACACACAACATAAATAAAATTCATAAAAAGAAAAATGTATGCAACAGCTCATTTTAAAATAAGTACATGTATAAAATATGCCGCTAGCTTATGCTAATATTTAGTTATTTTGCTTTGAAAATTATTAAACAAGGTTGGGGACGGAGGATTACTTAGAGTTAAGGCCACTGGGCTACTTGGTACCAACTCAACTTGTATGGGTTTTTTTTTTATTATTCATTTTATTTCCTGATTATAGGCCCCTCTCTCATCTCCTCTGAGTACCACCCTCCCTCTCTCTTTCCCCCATCTCCTTTCCCTAGACCACAGAAAGAGGGAGCCCTTCTCCCCTACCATCTGATCCTAGCCTATCAAGTCTCATCAGGACTGCCTGAATCCTCTTCCTCTATAGCTTGTGTGTTCTTAAAAAAAAAAAAACAAAGCAAACAACTGGCCTCCTTACATGCAACAAGCACAAAAACTTACACACATGCCTGGGGTGTTCTGTTTGTTGAAAAGTGGAAAATACCTATTTTTCCATAGGTGACTTCACCACAGACTCAGTATTGCTTCTGTTTTGTCTGATTAACCAGGGTTTTCAGGAAGTTAAAACTCTGTAATAAAAAGAGACCATGAACGTAACTAATCTATAATAAATGATTTCCTTAACTCAGAGGTACTTGCAGGAAAGCGCTTCTAACCAGAAACTTCTAGAGCTTTCTGTAACTTATGAAACAACTGTTTCCTTTACCTTCAGCCTCATGTGTTAATTTAATTCTTTGCCATGTAGTAAAAGGTCTGTTTTCTTTGATGGCATTGACACAATACCACACCAGAGGCCCTCAAACTATGAGCTAAATCTACTTCTTTTCCTTGTAAACAATTCTTATGTAAACATAAGAACTTTGAAAAAGTTGTATTTATGAAACTACGGGGAGCTGTTTAGTGAGTGTTTACTATGGCCATTAGACTTGGCTGGAAAAGATACTTTGGCCTCAGGGAGCTCACAGTCTAGTGAAACAGAAAGTCCAATGATGTGGCTTAAAGCAGAGCTCAGCAACAGAATAAAAAACCACACAAAGGCCTATTGTGGTAGATTGAAGGGTAAAAGTTTCCTCAGGGCATATAGAATAGAATGGAGAAAACAGTTGTAAGTTCTTTGATCAGCATTAGTGTTGTGTTTTGCAAACAGAATAAAAGTGTTTGGCTGATGGATGGGGTATAATTCTGCTAGACGCTGTAGAGACTAGAGGTAGGCTACAGGTAGCCTACGAGACCTCTTGGCATCGAAATGGTTACAATTTGTAAGGAAGTCAAGCGCATTCCCAAAAGGGATTTTTGAATGCCTATCATGCAAGTGCCACTGTGCCACTGTGTTAGGTCTCGGGGATGCAGCAGTAACCTTCAAGATGTGCCCAGGTTTTTTGGTTTTACTGTGCCTCTACCTTGACTTTGACTCTGGGAGTGAGGGAGATGCCCAACACTTAAGAGTTCCTGAGGCTCTCTTTGGAGCCAGGGGAAATGAAGCAGTTTGTTGCAGGAGGAGCTCAGGTGGTGGGGCCGATGTTCTTCTTGACAAGGAAGCACAGTTCATGGCATGTTTGGGGCTAGCTCCCACGGTGTGCCAACACAGCTTCATGGCACGCACTTTACCAACTGTAATCCACCAGCACTCACAACAGCCCTATGGCGGTAGGTTTTGTTACTGTCCTCATGCTTCAGGCAGGTAAAAGAGACTCCATATTGTTATTGAGTGGCAGAGCTAGGGTGCCTCGTGTCTACTGGTGGTAGGCAACGAGGCAGCAGAGACGGAAGGCGCCAAACCATGATTTTGTTGAAAGGCAAGCTTTTACCCACTCGGTGATGGAAAGCTCTTTAAAAATAACCAGTAGAGTTGGGGTTGTGTAACTATGCTGGGAGGAATGAAGCCATTCTAATGTAAGACTGCCCTTCCCTTTGGCTGTCACACTGTTGAGACAATGGACCCCAAGGAACTGGAATTCCCCCAGGAGTCTCACGCTGAGAAGAAAAGGGCTGGCCCTGCCAGCCAGCAGGGAAGCTTTGTCACACAGCGCTGAATACTTGCAGGACAGACCTGGAGGCAGGAGCCAAGACAATGAAGGATGATGGGGAGGGCCACCCCTTGACCAGGACTGCAAATTTCTTGCCCTCAGTTTAAATCTAAGCCTCATGCCAAGATTTAGGAGGAGGTAGAGGTCATTAAACCTCTTATTTGTTTCTTTTCCCAATGAGATCTCCTTTCTCTGCATTTCACTATTGTCCCCAATTTCCTATTGAGGCTGGGTGGTTGAGTCTTGTTAGGACCAGAGCAAGTCTAGGACACTGGAGCTGTAGTTCAGTGGTAGAGTGCAATGAAAAAAGAGAACATCTATACTATGTAAATTATACATACATTTATGGAGCACAGCGGAGAGAAGAGATAGGATACTATCACACCATGAGAGAGCCTGGCAAAGATGAAGTCATGACTGCAAAATCCTGAGAGGCTAGAGAGTGCAGCCAACTGAAATTTTGTGCCCACAATATTTAACAGTTTTAAAAATCAGCTGTAAAACACTGAAGCATGGGTAAACCTCTACTGTCTCTTGACACTTTACTATAGAGACCGCACCCCCCCCCAAAAAAAAACAACAAAACATGAGATAAATTAGTTAAAATAAAGGCAACAATGCTGTGGACATGGAGTTTCTGGAGGCACTCAATGCTTTGCTAATCTGCTTCCCCGCCCCCAGGGGCGCTCTGGGAAGCACCCACTTTATCTCCAATCTACCTGAGTACCAAGGGTTTGCTTTGGTTCTTCACCTCTCATTTGGGCTATCAGAACACTTTTGTTCAAAATCCAGGGTTAGTACCTGTGATTGTAGTGTTCTGGAGACTGTCACACAGGCAACCGTCCAGGGCTGAGCACAAGCCCTGGCTAGAGCAAGCTCCATAAGGTTGACGCATGTGGTTTTGGCCTGCAGTCACCAGACAGAGACACACTGACAACTTTCAGAACAGTGTGGTACCAAGGCAAGCTTGGCAAACACCCCTAACTAAAGCCCTTCACCTGAGCAGTGTGCTGGTCAGAAAGCCTTCCAGGAAAGGGTGGTGCCTGACCTGAGCTACCAAGTCTCACTGGAATCCTGTTAGGAAGGAGGTGTCTCTCTAGGTGCTGTTTAATGGGGGGGGGGGGGGAAGGCCTAGGTATTAAGGGAGGAAAGACAGGCACGCTGAAATGCAGAGAGCTGAGAGCTTTGCATGCCTGTCACCGCAGCATGGACTTTGCTCTGCAGACAGTGAGGCAACTGAAGATTTTTCATTTGTTTATTTACTGACAGGATCACAGGTAAACTTTGAACTCAGGATTGTAGCCAAGGCTAGCCTCAAACACCTGAGCCTCCTTTCTCACCTCCCAAGTGTTGGGACTACAGGTGCATGTTATCACACCTGGCTTGATGATGTTTACAACCCCGGCCCCCTCCACCACCAAGAAAAGTTCAAATCTGAACGTTTTCTGGTTCTTGTCTCTCAGATAGCTGGGTCTCATAGGCTTGCCAGGCAGAGGGCTAGTTATTGTCCCTGCCTGCCTCAGTCCCTGTCCTGCACTTTACCATCCTTTGGTACTCTTCACTGCAGCCTCGGGGTAGACTGGTCCTATACCGGGGACCTATCCTGACCATCGTTTCAGGATAGTGAAGGTAACATTCCAGCCAATCAGAGATCTTCCTAACACCTTTGTAATGGAAGTTTTGGCTTCTTTAAAAGCTCAGTTACGTAAATATGGTTCTTTGGTTTTTTTTGTTTTGATCCCAAGAGTGAAGTTTTAGTTTGGGCTTTAGTTTGTTCACAGATGATAATTGCCTCCTGCAGGGTGTAGTCTTTGCCACCACGGAGAGGGGCGTAGGCTGGATTCTGAGGAATATAAAAAACCAGAGCTGGAGAGAAAAGGTAGCTTGTGGTCAGTGGCAAGGGGTTGAACGGCAAGGAGCATCCGGCAGTCAGGAGAGACCAGAGGTGGACAGTGTGGTGGTTTGGAGATACATGGGAGAGGCTTCGTGGTACAGCGACTTGGGGGAGACTGCTGGCTGCGTGTGCTGTTGACAGAGATTGGGATAGCCCCTAACTAAGATCCCATCGGCCCTAAGAAGCCAGGAGAGGTAAAGGGGTCTGCACCCCCCTTTTCTCTCTCCTACCTTGGCGGGGGTGTTGAAAGGGAGAGGCTTTAAGGAATGCCAAATTAAAAGAGTTTAAAAATGAGCGCAACAGGGCTGGAGACATGGCTCAGTGGTTAAGAGCACTGTCTGCTCTTCCTAAAAAGGTCCTGAGTTCAATTCCCAGCAACCACATGGTAGCTCACAACCATCTATAAAGTGAACTGATTCCCTCTTCCGGCATTCAGGTATACATGCAGCAGAGCACTCATATACATAAAATAAATAAATAAATCTTTAAAAAGATATACAATTAAAGAAAATGAGCAAAACACACCTTTATTCCAGGGGAGACTTTCTTCTGGTGTTACCCAGGGATAGACACATGCATTATTGATGCCTCTGCTAGATACAGACTGTTTAAGTCTAAGGGACAGGGAAGAGGCTGGGCAGCAGAGCTGAGATTAGACCCGAGGGGAGCCAGGGATTTTCAGCCATGTGCTTGAACCGGTTTCATTTGCAGCTATAACTTGGTAGACAATAGCAGCTGGAGGGTAGGACTTTAATGCAAAACCTAGGGCAGACCCAAGGGAATCCAGAGAGGCTCCGATGCCAGTTCAGGGCAGGGACATTTCAGAAAACTAAGAAACCAGGGGACAGGTCTGAGACGTATTTGGGAGTGAAGTAGGCACAAGTTGGTCATCAGTTTGAGGAATGGGAGGTAAATCCCTCAGCACCTGTTGGATTTTCAGATCAGGCAACTTAAGCAGAACAGTGCGAACAACTGAACTTGAGAGAGCTTAGCCTTGGATTTCTATTTCAGGTCCTAATATGAGTGTTAAAAATGCCCAGTAGAGGGCTGTCAAGTTGGGTCAGGGTTAAGAGCACTGGCTGCTCTTTCAGGGGGCCTGGGTTCAGTTTCCAACAGCACATGGCAGCTCACGACCATTTGAAACTCCAGGCCTACAGGATCCGACACTGTTCTGGCCTCTATGGGCACTACATACACTTACATCCAGGCAAGACTCTCATACACATAAAGTAAAAATAAATAAATCTTAAAAAATTGTCCAGTGGGCAGTCATGATGGCACATACCTACTGAAGAAGCTGAGCCAGGAGGATCACCTAAGCTGAAGAGCTCAAGACCAATCATGGTTAAGCAGTGGAATTCCCACCTCAGAACAAAGCAAAAGCAAAAGCCCAATACCCCAACCAGAACAAAAACCCAGGGTGGGTGTGGTAGTGCAGATTCATGACCCCAGCACAGGGAGACAAAGACAGAGGCAAGTTCTAGGCCAGCGAGATTCCATCTCATAAAGCATGCAAACAAACAAAAATAAAACAAAGAAACTCCCTACACTAAAACAAAACAGCTGGAAGGGGGGGAAAAAAGAGCCCCAAACCATCCAATCTTCAGCATGTGTGTGTATGATCTCCCAAGAAAAACAGGGAAAGCCAGAGAAGCCACTGGGAGTCACCAATAGAAACCGGAGGCCATGGTGAAAAATAAGAGGCAGACAGGAACAGGAGGTGGAGGGACAGTGGGAAAACCTGAGGTCACGGAGGACAGTGGCAGAACAGAGTGGTCGCACTCTTAGGAAGGTCTCCAAGGCAGTGATGGGATGTTTCACTGAATCTAGAAACTGGAGGTTTCCTGGTGGTGGTGTGTGTGTGTATGCCTGTGTGTGCACGTGTATGCGATCAGCTTCATTCTATCAGTGGTGGAAGCAAAAGTCAGGTTTAGTCCCCTGGGAGGTGGGAAAAGGAGCCAGAAGATGTTCACTGGAAAGCTTTGATAAAGGGAAAAAGACCAAGCCTGAGGAGAGTGGCTTTGAACGGGGCCTCAGTTCAGGAAGTTTGACAGTGACAGAGATGTCTAGACCTGGGAGAAGTTTCCAGAATTTCAGATGTACATATTGTTGTTATTGGAGACCGAGATCTATATATACCACAGTGATCTGGAACTCCTGATGGTCTTGCCTCTATCTCCCAAGAGCTACTCTTAAAGACGTGGGCCACCACACCCAATTTACATGCATACTTTTGGGGTGTAAGACAAGCTTATTCGCATAGTGGAGAGAAGGGTGGCAAGTTTCTAATAGAGGATTTGAACAATGACCAACAAATAAATTCTTCCTCCCTTAAAACTGTTTCTGTCACTGACAAGCAAACAGTCCACAATCCTTTCTTTCCCTATTCACCAAAAAGGTTCTACTCATCCTTCAAACACCAACTGATACTTTTCCTGTTGCCAATTTCTCCAGGCACAGCAATAGCTAACACAGCTTTTGCCACACTGGGTAGTAATTTTTCTTTCCATCCTACTGCCCATTCACCATTATTTCCAAATAAACTCTGATGCAACTGACCTCCCTGGGGCAATGAGGAATGAAGAAACGAGACACATGTACAGAAAAGCTAGGATGGGTGGGTGAGCCATACTCACTGATGGAGATGGACCAGAGGCAAACTCAGTGTTTCTTCTATACGGCCGAAAGAGGCAGGTTAGCTAATCTGGATAAAGGGTCTCTGTAGAGGAGCAGAATCAGGCTGCAGTCATTGTGAGGAGGAAGCTGTAGTTGGTACTTTCAGCACATACTATCAATATCTGTACTGGAATCAAGGGTAGGCCTTGCCATTCCCAAGTGTTTGAAGCATTGAAGTCCGTAACACAGCCACACTCTCGTGTCAACAATACAGATTAGTTCAGGACTTCACCCGAAAAACTACCTTTGTCCTTTTGGGGTTTATCCAAGAGTTTATCTTCCGTTGTGCTACCTTCCTAATGGTGGCTCAGCAAATCAATAGAGGAAAGCCTTGTCATTCACATGTGACTTATCCTAGGAAAGGTCTTTGAAGAACTTTTCATAATTATATTATTTGTAGACAATTAACATTGAAAATACCTTTCTGCAATTAATTTTTCCTTAAAAATTCTCTTCATTCCTGGTGACAAGTCCATAGCCAAAACAGGAAGTGCACTTCAAACACCTCTAACAGTGCACAACAATCTCATTCTTCTCAGCCTCTCAGTTCCAGACTCTGCTTCTCTCCAGCTTTCTTTTCTCCCAGTGGAGAGCATGAAGACCCCCCATTACCACAAATTATACAGTCAACTGTCCCACATTTGGGGAAGTTGTAGAGGTCAGCACATCCAGAGTGCAATGGATAAACCTCACCCTGGCAAAACCACCTTGGTGATTATTTTTATGACTTGACACAAGCTAGAGACATTTTGGAAGAAGAAAAAGAAGTTGAGAAAATGTCCCGACCAGATTGGCCTGTAGTGCAATTTCTTATTTGACGATTGATGGGGGATGGTCCCCGCTCCCGACTCCTGCTGGTGGTATTGCTAAGGTGTATAAGAAAGCAAGCTGAACGAAACAGTAGTCAGTAGTACTCCACGGCCTCTGCATCAGCCCCTGCCTCCAGGCTCTGGCCCTGCCTGAGCTCCCTGACTTGGGCTGGTGATGGACTATGATGTGGAACAGCTGGATGAGCCCTCTACTCTTTCCTCTCAAGTTCTTTTCGGTCATGGTGTTTACCACAGCAACAGAAACCTAAGGTAGTGACTGTGGTAAAATTCAATTTCATGATGAAATTTAAAGCTAGAGGAGAATGTTAGGTATTGCTCAGACTGAATTCTTTTGTACTAGACACAAGAACAAAGCCAGAGATCCCAACTGTCCTGTGCTGAGACAGCAAATTGGCAGCCAGAAGAGAGTACTTCAGTATGGTTTGGTAGGCCCTCCTCCGTAGTCAACCAAGGCTGGAAGATATTAAATGAAAATTTCAACTGTTCATACATTTTATTATAGCATATTTATAATAATGTTATTGTTAACATTATATAAAATTAAAGTTTATCATAATTATGTACATATAAGAAAAAGCATCCTACAAAGGACTTGATACTATCTGTGGTTCTGGGTGCCCACTGGCATCATTAGAATGTGTCCACTGAGGACTGGAAAGGAAAATAAGGAGGAATGGGGACCATGTGGTTTTCTGTGTGATAGTTTGAAAAGCATATTGAGTATTCTCTTGGCTCTAAGCTTCTACCTTTGCATGTGTAAACTGAGACAAAAAAAAAATAGTAGCTATTGCCTGGATTTGCTGTGAGAGTTGTTAATCGATGCAAAATACTACAAATAGTACCAGATCAAAGTAGGTACTTGGAATAGGCCACCATTTACTCTTTGCTTAGATACTATACTCTCATCCTTTCAGACAGGGTTTCAAGTAGCCCAGGCTGGCTTCACTATGAAACTTAGGGTGACCTTGAACTCTTGATTCTCTTTTGCCTCTACTTCCCAAGTACTGGGATTGCTGCATAGCCATTATACCTCCTGGACCTCTTGACTACTAAAGAACTTCTTGATTTTAAGTTCTGAAGTATTTTCATGAACAACAACAAACAAAAAAAACCTCACCAAAATATGCCCATTCAAAACCCCAAACAGGGAGGCATACATAGGTATAGAATTTGGATGACATAAGCTTTAGGTCTAAAGAAAAAGAAAAGATTTATTTTCCTGTAAGGGCTCACTCAGTAGACCAGGTTGGCCTGGAACTCGGAGATCTATCTGCTTCTGCCTTAGAGTGCTGGAATAAAGGGTAAAAGCGTGTCATCAGGCCGGGTTTCATTGTATTTTTCACTTGTGTAGGCGTGCGCACATGGGTGCAGGTGCCTATATTAGTTACTTTTCTTTCGCTGGGGTAAGTCACCATGACCAAAACAATCCGTAGAAGAGTTTGTTTTTTGTTTTGGGGGAAGGAGTGGCATTAGTGTCAGAGGGTTAAAGTTCATCATGGCAGGAGGCAGGCAGGCACGGTGCTAGAGCAGTAGCTGAGAGCTTCTATCTTGATCTACGAGGATGAGGCAGAGAAAGAGAGCTGTCACTGCCATGGATTTGGAAACCTAACCCTGCCACATTGACACACCTCCTGCGACATGGCCACAACACTTAATCCTTCCCCAACAGTCCCACCAGCAAGGGACCAAGTATTCAATTATAGGTGCCTGTGAGAGCCATTCTCATTTGAGTTACCACAGTGTCTATGGAGGCCAGAAGAGAACACTGGATCCCCTGAGCTGGAGTTACATATGTGAGGAACCCAACGTGGGTGGTGAGAACTGAGCTTGGGACTTCTGGGAGGGCAGAAAATGTCTGTAACTGCTGAGCCATCTCTCCAGCACTTGCAAATGATAGGATACGATGTAATCTTTCTGAGCCCGTTTCTTGACCTATAAGAAGAGGTTAAATCAGATTGACCTTTCTTTAAACAGCGGCTATGAGGCTTAAGTGGAACATGCACTGTCCAGACTATTGCCGTCTCCGTCGCCCATGCCTTGCACAATGCCTAGAACTACCGACAGATGTCCCGCAGCCTACACCGAAACACGTCTCCCTGCTCAGCAGACCCGAGACTTTAGAACAATCCACATCTAACAGGTTGGCCGTGGAAGAACAGCTCATGTTTAGAAGCAGAAATGCAATCCTGTGTTTATAGATCACTAAGCCTCTGTATAGTTTTGCATTAAAGACAGGTTGTGCTACTTACATTTGAAGTGTAAACTGGTTTATTTTTAAAATACACTTTATGAGGCAATCTTTATCTAACTTGTTACACTAGTTTTAGCTTCCCTGGACATGTAAAATCACACAACTGGTGAGCTAAAGGATTAATTTGTAGCTGGGAGTGTCTCCCTCACAGTGCACCAACCAGAGGCTCTTGTTTCAACCTCCATCACCCAAGGAAAAGAAGTATATACCACCACCACACACGCCATTGTAAGACTGTCCTCATCCTAATCCCAGGGAGAATACAGCAGTCTGCTGGTGCCTGGATCGGCAGGTTCGGCAGTCACCCATGTGACTACTCCGGCTCAGGATCCAATGGCTCCCCATGTTGTCACGTGCTGTGTCCTCTAGCTCTTAGCGAATGTCAGTAAGCAGGGTGTGTGGAGGTGCTAGCTCTACCAGAAGTACAGTTCTTCATACTAATGTCTAGCTATGCCTCCTTTCAAGGCTGGCATCACCAGTTTGCATTTTAACTGTTTCTATCACTTATTTTCATAACAGCCTGGGCTGCCTGTGAGGACTGGAAGCTATTACTTGGGATACTGTGTTTGTGATAATTTCCAATGATACTTACAAATTTACTATTATCTTGCATTCCTTAGTGGTAATAAGCATTGCTTTCTCCATAATTTTATTTTAAGGCATCAACAAATTAACATTAGCACCGTAGTATGAATTTACTTGGACTACAATTTCTTTGTAAGATTTTATTTTTTTTTAGTCATGTGTGAGTATGTATCTGTGTGTGGGGGTCTCTGCTCATGCTTCCAGTTGCCTGGGGAAGTCAGAGGTATCAGATCCCTTGGAGTTGGAGCTGAAGACGCTTTTGGGTTGCCTGATGTCGAGTGCCAGGAACTGAACTCAGGTCTTCAAGAGCAGTTCATGCTCTTTACCATCTCTCCAGGCCCTGGACTGTAATTTCTTGCTGGACTGTAATTTCTTACAGGACAAAGGCAATATCGAATTCTGAAAGAAAATTCATTGTTGAGATCAATGTTCTTAAGACTCAAAGTACATTTGTCTAAGGATGGCCTGGACATTCAAATGCAGATTTGAATGATTCATGCAGCGACACAGCACAGAAAGGGACCACGTGAAGGCAAAGGTCATCTGCTGCTCACAACCGCCACAGGCTAGGGTGGCAGAAGGCAAAGGAAAATCAGTTGGAGGTGTTGACCGGACCTATCAAGGCTGCACAAAGACAGCGCTGAGCGTGTGTCAGATTCTACAAACAGGCTCAGAGCTTAGGACAGACGTCGGAGAGGGACCTGGGAGGAAGCTTGCCTATCCCTCAGTAAAGGGCTGGGAGTGGCTGTCCGTGGGTCTCTGTGTTAATTCACCACCTGACAGCTGCTGATGGTACATGTTGAGAAAGGTTGAAACAGTGGCATCCATCTTCAGGTTGGTACTGCCACTGCTGGCAGGTCTTTCTGCCTGTAACTTTGGCTAGTGTATACTTCCCAGCCACTCTTGGCAAGGGCCTCTTATCCATACTTTAGGGTAGTATCCCCTAGCCTGCAGCTCTTACGGCCACCCACTTTCAGTTATGTCTTCTCCTGTCTCTTTAAAATTTCACTTTTACTAAATTCCACTATCATCTCCAGTACAGCTGTCTTCAAAGGGTCCCAAGAACTGTGGGAGGGGATGTAGCAGGGATGGAAAAAGGGAAATTAAAAAAGTTTTAGGTGCAAGTGCTTGCCCACTAGCCCCACTCTTATCACCAGAGTACTGACCATCTGTAGGCCTTACTAGACAGGCTGAGTGAGGGCCTTGTGCTCCAGCATACCCATGCGTCATGGGGTCGGGGGGGCTGTGGAGGCGGAAGGCCTTCCCTTGTAGACCTACTGCATCTCCTGCAGTTGGTGGGTTGCACCCTTCTCACGGCTTTTCAGAAGATGCTCTGTGGCCTTCATCACTGCGGGGGCATTACAGGGTTGCAAGTAGAGCTTCTTCAGCAACTGCAGTGTTACTTGTTCTCATGGGCACAAATGGAACTCAGAGTGGCATCACTCCCTAACTATCTCACAAACGGCTTAGTTTCATGGGATAGATGTAGTGTATGCGGGATATACACCTGAGCTTGGAATTCACTTTCTCTTCCTCACGAGATTCAAGCCAATGTGGCAGTTTTTTTTTTTTTTGTTTTGTTTTGTTTTGTTTTGCTTCTCAAGCCTCAGCACATACATGACATTAGTAGCCCTCCTGGAGGATTTTGGTGTGACACTTGCCCCTGCCTCTGAGCTCCTGGAATGCATTTAATGACTCAGCTCTACCCATGGCACTGCAATGACTGAGGTGAGTCCTGGCGTCCCACCTTCCTCACACCAGACTCTAAGGCTGTCCAGGCCTGGTGAGCCTGCTTTACCGGCATGTCATCAGCACCTGGCTTGCAGAAGGTACTTAGAGAATGTCAAGTGAATGAAAGGAAGAGAGAGGAGAATTGGTCTTTTATTAATTTATTGAGCAAAACACAGGAAGGAGTCAATGACACACTGACCAAGTAAGTTAAGCAGGCTTTTAATGACTCTTCTCTCGCATTTGTGAGCATGTTAGCAAGTGAAAAAAAAATGTGTTTATTCTTTCCAGAGAACAGAGTTCCAAATAAGGATCACAGTTTTAAAATGATTATGATGTGGATGAGT